TGTGTGTGTGTGTGTGTGTGTGTGTGTGTGCATGCGTGTGTGCGTGTGTGCGTGCGTGTGTGCGCGTGTGCGCGTGTGCGCGTGAGTGATTGCTATCAAATAGCACACCTAGGTTCCTAACTGATGACGAAGAATTGACAGAGCAGCCATCAAGTGTTAGAGAGTGTTCTAGGTTATTATATGCAGAGTTTTTAGGTCCTATAATGAACACCTGTTTTCTCAGAATTTAGCAGTAAGAAATTACTCATCATCCAGTTTTTTATATCAACTATGCATTCCATTAGTTTTGCAAATTGATATGTTTCATCGGGCCGCGAAGAAACATAGAGCTGAGTGTCATCAGCATGTGAAAACTAACACCAGGTTTCTTGATGATATCTCCCAAGGGTAACATGTAAAGCGTGAAGAGTAATGGCCCTAGTACTGAGCCTTGACTTTATTTTTCGTTAATTTAGCAACTGTATTGAATAAATACCTGGGGTTGTGTTTGTTCTCTTCTAAAAGAGACGAAAAGTAATCAGATCTAGCAGTTTTTAATGCTTTTCTGTAGGATAGGGTACTTTCCCGCCATGCAATACGAAATACCTCTAGTTTTGTTTTCCTCCAGCTGCGCTCCATTTTCCAGGCTGCTCTCTTTAGGGTGCGATTGTGCTCATTATACCACGGTGTCAGACTGTTTTCTGTGTTTTCAGTATCTAAAATGCTAGAAAAGAGAGAGTCCATAGTTTCTGTTACATCATCAAGTTGTTCTGAGGTATTGGATATGCTAAGGAATTGAGATAAATCAGGAAGATTACTTACAAAGCAGTCTTTTGTGGTAGAAGTGATGGTTCTACCATACTTGTAACAAGGAGTAGAATTTACAGTTTTACTTGCACTATATTCATTTACTAACTGCTTGTTTTCTTTTTAAAAAAAAGCTTTTTATTTACAATTTCTATCCAATAAAATATTTCAAGATTCAGCTAGAAAGTGTATATTCATTATAAACTTGACCATGGAGTTATGAGATTGGATCAATTTCCATGACTTTCCAGGTCTAGAAATCACACTTTTAAAATGAGGCTTCCTCACATGTTCAGGTTTTCCAAAACCATGAGTCATAAAATGCATTAAAATAAGAAAGATCTTGATTTTGAGTAGTTTTAGCTGATGTGATGGTTGTTTTGTCTGATTTTGATTTGAAGGATTATAACTAAAACTAAAACCATAAAAAAAAAACATAAAATAAATGTTAACTGAAACAAGTATATTTTAAAAAGGCAACATTTGTAATTTCTTTTAGTTTAACTGGATGTACTGAAATAACTACAACTAAAACGGAAATAAAAATGTATAAAAAAACTATATAGACATATCAAAAAAACTAATAAAAATGGCAAAAACACTACAAAATTGAAATTTTAACTAACACAAAAAAAGCAGAGAATATAAAAATAAAATCTAAATGTTAATAAGCACTGTAATAGAATCTCAGTGTTTCAAGGCGGTCTTGTTCTGGTCCGTGAGATCAGACAGGTGTTCTGTCGGGTCGTGATCTTAAACCTCGTGATCGTGGCGTGATGTGCGGTGACAGAGTGTCTGACCCGGCGGAGACATCCGGTTCCTCCTGCAGATGATGCTGCAGCAGCTGTCCTTCTCCTCCACAAGCTATACAATCAGCTAAAACTGCTACAAAATCATTCATTCACCATCTCAACAACTGTGTGTTGTCTGTGAACAACCAGGATATGTGAGGAAGCCGCATCTTAAAAGTGTGATTTCTAGACCTGGAAAACTCATGAAAATTCATCAAATCTGAAAACGCCATTGGCATTTTTATAATGAATATACATATGTCTAGTTATGTTTTATTGGTTAGAAATAGTGAGTAAAAGTCCTTATTCTTATACCTTATCCAGTGAATCAGGACTGATGTAATTTAACAAAACCTTAAAACACCATGGGCGTTTCTATAATGAATATCCATTTGTCTAGTTATGCCAAGCTCAATAATATTCTACGGGATAGAAAATGTGAGTTAAAATATAAAATAAATCCTGATCTTTATCCAGTAAATCAGGAATGACTGGAAAAGTTATTAAAATAATTGGTTCTTATAACTTCTGAATTCATTGTGGATTTCTTCTTTCATTTGGTGGATTGAAAGTAAAATTGTTTCATTAAGGTATTTTTATTGGTATTGTTATAAATATAAGTTATTGTTATAAATCAATAAAAATACTAATATATAAATATACAGAACTTAAAAGGTCCTCAGATGTAAACCTCGGACGCATTACTGTTATGATTTATTTATTTATTTATTTGTTTATTTAAGAACATGCAGCTCCTGAAACTCAAGTTATCGGTCAAATCATCCTCCGGTCGCATCAGTTGTGACTGAATCTCATACTACGTCTCTCTGAACGTCCGCTGTGTTTTTGCAGGAAAGCAGATGGAACTTCCTGTTCGGTTTCTTGGCACTTCCTGCCCTACTGCAGCTGTGTGTTCTGCCGTTTCTGCCCGAGAGTCCGAGATTCCTGCTGATGGAGCGCCGGGACGAGGCGGGAGCGGAGAAAGGTCCATCTCACACACACACACACACACACACACACTCACTCACTCACACACTCACTCACTCACACACACACACACACACTCACTCACACACACTCACTCACTCACTCACTCA